GTGAGGGGGTGAGGTGAGGACCCTGTGATTGGCTGCATCTCTGCCTCTGGATTTTTGACCTTATGTTGCCATCTGCTGCAGAAGTGTGTCATAACATGTCTGAGCAGGTTGATAAAGAAATACATTTGTTGAAGTGGGGACTGGTGGCGGCGCAGATCCCTAACTACAAGTTTCTTGTGTTTGGTAATCTAAATGCCTTAAATCATCATCCAAATGATAGTGGTAATGCTGGCTATTAAAAATGGATTGAGATGCTTTACCTTCCAATTCTGACATTCATCAGTGGGTAAAAAAAATTACCTGAGATAAAGGTGAGGCGCATTGTGCAGATCTCCTTACTCCAAGGGGTATACTTGCATGTCACAAAATTGTATCCAATGTACAGGCTGACTGAATTCAAGCTGTGATAGTATTGTTAGTCTCTCCACTGCAATGTATATTGAGTGAAACAACGAGACACCAGCTTAAATCCTCAGACTGTGGTGAGTTAGCCAGGGCATTGTCACAATTACGTTTGCCCACCCAGACCTGAGCCTCATTCCTAAAGAGATGGGTGGCTGGGAGATGAGCACAGTGTAGCCCCATGGTTGGTGAAATTGACAAAGGCGTGAACATGGAGGCCCCACTTTTCTTAAATAAAGCGGCTTGCACATCTGCCTGATAGCTGGCCTGGACGGACTGCCTGCCTGGTGGGAAAACAATGGCAATTTAACCATGGGAGTCCGCAGTAAGGAGCCAGGAGAGTGTTTCCCAGTGGTTGCTGGGTGGAGGAAACTCCTGTATATTGGGGAGAGGTGCGGATCACTTTGCACTGTGGGCCATTTGTGCAACAGGCCTCAGGTTTCCTTGTGGGACCTGCCACGGGGTGCAATGGGCAAGGGTATACCTGTTGCTCCAGACTTTGAATGTCTTCGAAAAGCAAAAAAAAAGAGCTCTGCTGAAAGGTCAATTTCTCCACTGATTCTTCATGACTTTTTTTTGTTTAAAATTCTTCCATTAGAGCTGAGTGTCTCCAGTAAGGAATGCAATTTTTGCCAACACCTAATCGCTCTTGTGAAAGTACTGGTGATTGAATCACTGCAGTCCCCCCACAGTTAGTGTGAAATGTCCCAGAATTTGACCCAGTGACACTGAAGGGACAACAATACATCTCCAAATAAGAATGGCGTGTGTCTTGGTTTGTAAGTTGCACATTGTTGTGCTCCTGTTCACTTGTGTCCTTGTCCATGTAGCTGGTGGAGGACACAGGTTTGGAAGGGGGAACTTTGAGCTGCTGCTATGTTACACACTGCCTCCACTGTGCACCTGCTGAGTATTTGCAGCATTTGCTTCTTATTTTTTAATTACGCTTTTCCAGTATCTGCAAAATTTTTGTTCTGATTGAGGAAGTTCTTAAAATTTTACCTTGGCCTCTTTTGGCCAACTGACCTCTGCTGTGCATGCAGAGCAGCAGCATAATCTTGTGAAAATCATTACACTGCTCCCCAATTGCCATTGATGTTGATATCGGATAGGACTCTGCTGAACCAGTGTGACATGCCCTGCTGTTTGGGTGTCAATGCCATATTGTGTGATAGGAATTAACTTGCAAGAGCATTTAACAAAGTGCTCTGATAATCAAAAGACAAAGGATGTTGCATTGTATCAATCTACATTGCATTGGAAGCTGAAAATGCAGTGCTGAATCCAACCAGTCACACATACTGTTCATTTTATTTCCTAATTTTTCACTGATTTAATTCAAAGAAACGAAAAACAGTTCAATTATCAGTTCACAAAGCAAATCTCAGTTTGGCAAATGCAAATAAATCTCAAAGTTGGCCAAACACAGTTCATTTTGGAGAATACTGTTTCAGTAGTTTTACAGTCGTGTCAATTCATAATCCTTTTTGCTACAACATCTTGTATTTACGTAGCATTTTAAACATAGTACAATATCCCCAAAATATCCTGAGGCACTTCAAAGGAGCATTATCAAACACTTACTGCATTTGCAAATTATTTTTGTCCACTCGTGGGGCATAGACACTGTTGTCTGGGCCAGCATTTATTGTCCGTCCCTAGTTGCCCTTGAGAAGGTGGTGAGCTGTCTTCTTGAACTGCTGCAATCCAACTGCTGTAGGTACACCCACAATGCCCTTAGGGAGGGATATTAAAATAAGCATTTATAAGCTTAGTCAAAGAGGTAGGTTTTAGGATAACACAGTGTGGAGCTGGAGGAACACAGCAGGCCGGGCAGCATCAGGGGAAAGTTAACGTCAACTTTCTCTGATGCTGCCTGGCCTGCTGTGTTCCACCAGCTCCACCCTGTGTTATCTCTGACTCCACCATCGGCAGTTCTTAATATCTCTGGGTAGGTTTTAGGACGTGTCTTAAAGGAGGGGGGAGACAGAGAGAAGAGATTGAGCAAGGAAATTCAAGACCTTGCAGCACAGACTGTTAAAGTCACTGGTGGAGAGAGTGTAAATTGGGCATGTGCAAGAGGCTAGAATTAGAGGAATTTGCTGAGGGTTGTAGGAACTGGTAAAGATGAAAGTCCTGATGGATGTTGCCAGGTTTGAAGGGTTTGAGATATAGGGAGAGGCTGAATAGGCTGGAGCTATTTTCCTTAGACTGTCAGAGGCTGTGGGGTGACCTTATAGAAAACCATGAGGGGCATAAATAGGGTAAATAGTCAAGGTCATTTCCTGAGGGAAAGAGGGGAAAGATTTAAAAGGGCCCTAAGAGGCAACTTTTTCATGCAGAAGGTGGTGCATGTATGGAATGAGCTGCCAGTGGAAATGGTGAAGGCTGGTACAATTATAACATTTAAAAGGCATCTGGATGGGTATATGAAGCGGGAGGGCCTAGAGGGATATGTGTCAAATGCTGGCAAATGGGATTAAATTAATTTTGGATAACTGGTCAACATGGATGAGTTAGGGTGAAGGGTCTGTTTCCGTGCTGTATAGCTGCATGCCTATGGCTGTATGAGTAGTATCGGGGTTTTGTAATTTTGTAAAGTTGAATGTGGGCTGATGTTTTCTTGACTAGCGCTCTTAAAATGTGTTCCAGGATTTGAAATGTCATCGTGTTTGAGGGGACTTTTGTCTCGACCTCAAGTGTCACATGTCTCCCCCAGCCTCTGGGCTGAAACCTTACAAAGCTTCTGCAGGATCGGAGCTAATGTCAGAACGAACATTTCAAATAAATTGAGTGTGAACCACGAAGAGACCAGATGTGGTGAAGAGGAATGATCTCAGAGGGTTGAAACATTTCAAATTGGGAAGAAAGGGAATGGGCCTGGCATCTATGATATCATGACCAGAAAATGGTGTTTCTTGTTTTCTATACGCATTGCCCTAACACCAGTTAATATGATTGTAGGGATCACTTAAGAATTTCACATCTGCTTCCTTATAATCCCTACAGTGTGGAACCAGGCCATTCAGCCCAATGGGTCCACGTGACCCTCCAAAGAACATACCACCCAGACCCACCCTATCCCTGCAACTCTGCTAATTCACCTAGCCTGCACATCCCTGGATACTATGGATAATTTAGCATGGCCAGTCCACCTAACTTGCACATCTTTGGCCTGTATCAGGAAACTTGAGCACCCGAAGGAAACCCACACAGATACACGGAGAATGTGCAAAGTCCACACAGAGAGTTGCCTGAGGCTGGAATCAAGCTCAGGGCCCCAGCTCTGTGAAGCAGCAGCGCTAACTACTGAGCCACCGTGATACCCCGTGGTGGTTTTGATTAAGACCACTAATTGAAGTGGCCAGCAATGAGATCACTTGTAAATGCATTAACATGATACTAACTGGCAATGGGAGGCAGAACAGTGAGTGCCTTTGTAGCTCCTTCAGGCTGAATTTATCAAACTTTTCTTGTCTCAAAGCATATTAACTTGAATTACTTTTTATCAAATGAGAAATCTAAGTGCAGGGCACAATTGCCTATGTTACAGGAGTTTTCCTTTCAGTCGCCAATCTT